TATGCTAGACTATGCGAATGACTTTAATGATTGAATGCTTCTTAATGAACACGTGACTTTAATAAATTAATGAGTTTAGTGAACGAATGATTTAATGAGTGAATGAATTATTTGAATGAATAAATTTAATAAGTGTATGATTTTAATGATTGAATGAGTTTTAATGAACGAGCGACTTTGATGAACAAGTGACTTGAATGAATAAATGAATTTAATGAATGTATGCATTTACCGAATGCCTTTTATGATTCAATGAATTTCAATGAACGAATTACTTTAATGAATGAATGAATTTGATGAATTAGTAGGTTCAATGAATTTCAATGAACGAATTACTTTAATGAATGAATGAATTTGATGAATTAATAGGTTTATGAATGAAAGGATGCCTTTAATTAATCAAATACTAAATTTACATTCTAAATCTTAGGAGTAAGTCCAAACAAAAAGAGATTGCTGGCAGCTGAGATAATTCGGGGCAATAACTGAAACGACTCTCGGCAGTATGTTTTATGGTGTTCGCATATTCGAGTCCCGGCGGTGACGCATTTTCGACACTAGCTATCCACTAGGTACGTTGAATTCGACTACTGTATGACGAATTCTAGTGTCTGGATGCTCTGATCGATAGTTTTCTGTGGATTCACCTAATGTTCTCTGAAGGCGAATGTCGGATCAGTACCTTAACAAACGAGCCACGGACAGCGCGCGATCTGTCCTTCCTCTTCCTTCTGTTATCTTCACTCCTTTGACACGCACACACACACTCTTGCATGTGATACAGTACCACACATGTCGGGAGATCAGTCCAAAGCTTGAGCTTGTCCCGGCTTGCGCTGTACCGCGCTGTCGCAGATGCCAGGAAGAGGAAAACCCGTCAGAACGATGTGTGGAGCGGCGCTGGACTTCACAAGGAGCATAAAGTCACCGTCACCTATATTCCAACGGAACGAATGTTCATAGTAGTAGATATGCCGGGAAACTTCAATCAACCAGCCGAGACAGTTTACGAGTCAGTCGAGTCAGTTCACGAGAAAATCAGTTCACGAGTTCGAAAACAGCAATCAGTCACTCCATATAAATATATGGCCTTAGTAATGAATGAATGAATTCAATGAATCAAATAGCAAATTTTCATTCTAGTGTGTATTAATTGATATCTAGACAGCAGAGATATCTAAAGCGGACAGGTGGAGAATGCACTGTCACGGGACCTGAGAATTGCGATGAGTGTGCAATATGTCCTCCAATATACCTCCCTAAACGTGAAGAAAGAAAGAAAAAAACGTTCCAAATCTTGACATGCTCCCTAGGGCCGCAATGAATATAGAGGCCACAGTGGCGTCAAGTGAAGGCAGGCTAATAAAATATTTAATATCGCATACTGAGGGCAGGGGGCGTCGATGTAAGCCTGGTAAACTAACGTTTAATACATTTGATGATGATGTGATTACGAATGAGTGGATGTGGTGAAATTTCTGAACAATTTATAATGAAATCAAATGTGACGAATTGTATGGTATTGGCTGTCACCCAAAGGTGTGATCCTTTTATTTGTTTGTTACAATCTCAAGATAACCTTATTGAAATGTGTGAGGGGCATAATACATTTTAATAACTTTTATTTTAATGTATTTACTTATTTACTTTATTTATTTTCAAATTCCGTAATATCATAATTTACCAAATTAAAGCTGTGGCATCTTCCCACAATGCTAAATGTATTTTTTTCAAACTGAAAAGGTATACGTAATTGACCAGGTAATAAATATTTTTTAGAAGATAACCTTACGCATCCATTTTTTACATGGCTTTCTAACCCATATCTTTCTTCAATAGAATACAGCCACTATTGCCTGGCAAATCTGTATCGGCGACACAGCCCTTCGCAGCACTTCAGTAATCCCTTTTGTTCATTATTCGATTATATGGCGCGTGCGTGAGTGTCTCGCGTGCAAACTTGCGTGTGACAAACGAGAAAAACACCACGTCTTGGAAGTCTCGCAGCTGCAGAGTGACAAACAAGTCGAATCGATTTCAGGGTCACGCATTCTTGACGATGACATCGCAATAAATCGTATCCTTTCCGCCTTTTGTGACCTCGTCCTCCATCTCGCACGAAACAGTTTGCTTCTCCCGCGGCACCAGATGAGGGCAGGGCATCCGTTCAGATGAAGCATTCATTCTTACAAAATGCATCTGCATTCAACTCTGTGTTTCCAATGGAGCAATGGCGGTTTATAATGTGTTGCGGATTTGGAAATATTGCCAAAATGATTTTAATTCTTTCCTTACCTTATTAAATTCCTAGTATTACAATTTTACTTTCCTGTTTTGGTTGCAGCTATAGGCGTGCGCAGTCTAAAACAAGGAAGGGAGCCAACTACATTTTTGGGCCCCCTTCCATTAAACTTTATTTATATACGTATTTTTTTACGTGAACAACTATTTTCAGATTGGTTTTGAATTCTTGAAGTATATTTTTTGGAGGCTGCAAAAGGGATCAACTACGATTTGGACGCATTTTGCTTTATAATGTCGTACCTTTTTAGCTTTTTCATTTTTTACGTGATAGATGTTACGGGATTTTTAGCTTTTTCCGATCGATTTTCAATTTTTTTAGTCAATGAGTTAATGGAACAGCACAGAACGTATTGACTTTCGCAACTAAGTGAAAGAACAAAATTTTTCAAGCCTTAAATTTTTAGAAAGTAAGGCAATATTACTTACTTAAACTTTTATAAATGGTAACAACATGACAAATGAACCCATCCATTTACCATCACCAAATTTTAAAATTTAAATATTTTCTATGCTAATTTTTTTCCTGAAATTTGACATGGAAATAAAATGATTAATAACGTAAGTCAGCGGGCCCTCTTCAAAAATTTTATTATTGTTATTTGAATTTATTATTTCACTACGTCACATAAGACCCGCGAACCCAAGATATCTATGTCTGGGATAGGCTAATTAAGTAATTCGTTATGAGAAAAAACAAATAACATTCTTGAAAAAATACTTAGTGTTGTGAGCTGAAACGAACACTAGTAAGAACACCTACCTGCGTCAAAATATTGGTACACATGTGAAATGTTTATTCTGTAATGAGAGTGTGCTGAGTCAAGCAATCACGTAAATGTAAATAAACATGAGTAAACGTACTTACCTAAATCTTGTCCTTTCGTATCTCATTTATTTGTATAATTTCCAGGTTCGCTTCTATGTTACGTGTTTTGGTGGCTTAGTGTGTTGTCAATTTTGAGCGCGGGCACGGCTTGGACAACCAGAATCAAAATCTTAGTTTTTGGAAACCGTTCGTAAAACTATAAAATGTTAAAATAAATGATTAGATGATCTTTTGAAATGTAAAGATAGTTGCAATATGTCACGCACAATGTGTCGTTTAAAGACTTCAATCACGGAAGTAATTCTTAGCTGTGATGACAGAGTGTAATGATAACTTAAAATTTCAATAATGTTACATTCTCTTGATTAGCATTTGGTTAATTAGAAATGTCTACCAATATAAAGTGGCATCATAAGATTATAGCGTTAGAATACGCGAAATGTCTGTGCACTCGAGGACCGCTAAAATGCGATTATATGGACTTTAACGATTTTCGGTTTGCATAAATATCTCGTGCGAATTCTGACAGACGCACATGCTGTCGCCATTTGGAACTACTATTAATGGCGAACACATGGCATGGATAGTATACTACAAATAATACGATTACAGCTGATAATTGTGATGGAGAATCGCTTTTCGATAATCAACAAAAATAGAGTTGGCGCATGCCAAGAGGATCAAAAATGGTTTCGCTGATTTATTGATTATTTCCAGTTGCCGTGGGCGTAAACACGCTACAGTCATTATTCCCGTAAGTGCAGTGCTTGTTTTAATAGGGTGGCTATTATTTTATTATTCTCAGATAAATTGTGAAATCCAGCGCCGACCTACTCGTCGGCTTGCTTGTATATTTTTAAAGCAGGAATCTCCCACAAGCGTTGCACCGCCCTATTCGTGACAAACTCTAAACTCCTGACTTGTCTCCTGACTGGACTCCCGACCTGTGTGATAATGTAGTTTGTGTATGTGTGAGTTAATAAGAGAATAGGAGAGGATAAGGCAGAGGAAGGATAAGGCAGATGTCGCGCTGTACGTGGCCCATTTGTTAGGCTACTGCTCCGGCATTCGCGTAGTATTGATCGTAGAAACCACTGTAAACTATTCATCAGAGCCATTCGGCTTCAAAAATTCTGTTTCAGACAGCGGCTGAATTGGATCTAGCTCTCTAGCTAGTCGAAAATTCTGCCAACGTCGGAACTCGAACCCTAGGACGTCCATGCAGTGGTACTGCAGTCACGTCAGTTAATAACGCCTGAGCCACGTTTCCCGATAAAAATAAGTTCTTGATATATTGTGTCGTTCTTTCCAAAACCTCTGTCTTGATGAAGTGGGCGCTGTGCGTGCGGCAGGGAGCAGGCGTTCGGGGCGCTGGTGCTGCGGCCGGCGGCGGGCGGCGGCGTGGAGAAGTTCGAGCAGCACCTGCGCTCTCTGCGCCTGGACGGCAACGCGCGCGACCCCTGGTTCCCGGCCTTCTGGGCGGCCGTCTTCCACTGCCGCGGGGCCGCCTGCCGCTCCCCGCTCTACAGCAGCCTGGAGACCTACCGCCTCAAGGAGGTACGTTGCTCTCGACAGCAGCCTGGAGACCTACCGCCTCAACAAGGTTCGTTGCTCTCTACAGCAGCCTGGAGACATACCGCCTCAAGGAGGTACGTTGCTCTCTACAGCAGCCTGGAGACATACCGCCTCAAGGAGGTACGTTGCCATCTGAAGAAACCTCGAGACCAATGAGGGGCGATGCTCTCTAAAGAAACCTCGAGATGTACTGCCCCAATGAGGTACTTTGCTGCTCTCTGCACCAGCCTTAAGAAGGTACTTTGCTCTCTACAGCTGTCTGGAGACCCGCCGCATCAAGAAGGTATGTTGCTCTCTCTAACAGTTTTGAAGAGGTATGTGGCAGCAGTCTGGAGACCTATCCCCTCAAGAAGATAAATTGCTTTCTAATCCACTTTGGAGACCTACTCTTTCAAGGAGGAAAGTTGCTCGCTCCAGCTGCCTAGGGTACTATCTCATCAAGGAGGTACGGTGCTCTCAATAGGAGCCTTGAGATCTCGCCATAAGCGGGTATGTTGCACTCCTGAGAATCCTTAAGGAGGATCGTTGTTCTCTGCATCAGCCTTAAGGAGGTGCACGGCTTTTATAGCAGCTTAGAGACCTATCGCCTCAATACAGTGCTATCTACTCCATTTTGGAGACCTACTGTATCATGAAGGAACGTCGCTCTCTTCACCATACTCCGGCATCAAGGAGGTAAATTGGTATCCACAACAGTCTGCATTCCTACATTCAGAGAGGTAAAGTAATCAGCGTAGGGACTTCGAGATCTTTCGTCTCAACAAGATACGTACGCTCTCTATAGTAATCAACATGCAGTAGGTACTTACCGTCTGTCTATTGTTTTCCTCAAGAGGGGAGGCTTGTGTCCCGGATCTACGAAGAATCAAAAGCGCCCTCAAGGTCCCTGAGTTTCACGGCACTAACATCGTTCTAAGTGCTAAAATGTTGCTGTGGAGGCGGGGAATGACTTTAATTCCAGAGGGTACCTAGTTTATCCCTTTGAGTAGGATTCGTCCTGTCAGGTATCCGTTCAGTCTTAAACAATAGTAAAAAATAATTTAAGGATGTACGTATTATGATTTTTCTGTAATCTCCTTAGTCAAACATAGTGTGATTTAGAACACTGAATTTGTTTCAGAATGCTGCCGTTGTGAATTCCATCAACGCTGTCTTGACTGTAGCCCATGCCCTTGAAACAGTGCGACGCAAACTCTGCCCAGGTAGGAAAAGCTTGGAATATTGAACTTGTGATCAATCTTATGAACAAAGAAGGATGAGCAATTTGTGAAACAAAGTAATATCTATATATAGAACTTATCTTCTATAAGAGTAGCTCATCACACAAGAAAAGGCTAATTAAGTATAAGATCATGACACAGACTCATAAACTTAAACCAATACATAGAAAAAATAAGTTTTGCCATCATTTATTAATAATAAAGTATTATAATAAATATAACCACTTGGCTTAACTTTATTGTTATAAATCTTTAAAATTTTGTTTTAACTAAAAATTCGCCTAGTGCTTTGAAAATAGATTTGGAACTCTTTTATAATGCCATCTGAGTATAATATTTAAATTAATTTTTATAAGACGTAGGTCTATCCCAATGTAGTGTAAAGTGAACATTTTACATCATCTTTCCCGAAGAAATCTCTCTTGGCGAATATTGACTGCGAGCCAATAAGAACAACTCTCCCGCGGCCTCACCGAATATTTCGAACCCAACAGAAGAAACTGCTGACCCATTACATTCCAGAGATATCCGAAAGACATTCTCGAAATCTCTCTGAAGCTAATTAAACAAAACTTGCTTTGTGCTGCGGGATTTGCAGCACCGTCTGAACATTTTAGTATATATTTCCGTATTTTTGAATTTATATTTGTTTTAATTGGGTTTTCATTTATTTCTCCAATAAATTACTGCATACTTGTATTACCATATTACATAGCAGTAATTGTATAATGTGGTCAGAGAGAAGATCCGACCCAATGTTTTGAGACTCGCCACAAATAAAGATCAGTACAACTAGTTCAATGAGTACAGTTACAATAATGTCTACTTATAGAAAGAAATTAAACTCTTATATGGTTATAAATGAGAAGGATAAAGAATAAGAAATTTAAAAAAACTCACACACACACACATACATAAACATACACATACATGTACATGTACACATATACATTTATCTATTTTCCAGGCGTACTTATTTCAGATGCACATCTTTCAGGTGTACATATGCACATATACATATATGTGATTACACTCATACATGTGTGCACACATACATGTACACACACATATACATATTTCAGCTTTACATGAATTTTTTTCTCATTTTACTTTGTTTAATTTGATTTTATTTAATTTTGATTTATATTTTTATTTTCTTCCATTTCGTTTTATTTCATTCGTTTTATTTCGTTTGTTTCGTCGCGTTCGCCAGAGCTGTCGCGCAGCGGGCGGAGCGGCGGGGGCGCGGGCGCGGGCGCGGGGTG